CGTTCATCTACACTGCGAGTACAGCATACCTATACTCCATGTCGTATATACTCATAGAGCTTATGCTAATAGAGTGACAATAGCGCGTGCAAGGAGGATCGACAGAGAAAGATATATGCTCTGTCTGAAGTGTAGCCGCAGGCCCGTAACTATGTGCTCTAGCATTGTTGTCTTTCATTTCTTTCTTATAAAACATTTCTTTGAGACATGTACTAGAATTTTTATATAAAATTTAATAAAAATATATAATAAATCTAATAAAATATACAAAACAGAAATATTTAGAAACAGAAATATTTTGAAACAGAAAGTCTAAAATATTTTATATATTATTAATTATGATATAATATATGACAATACACAGACAGCACAATGTTGAAAATCGGGTTATAAGACGTCTTTAAAAAATCTTTAAGACAAATTTATAAGATATCTTAAAGATGTCTTAAAGACGTCTTATGACTCGATTTTTGGCATTTGTATTGTCTGAGTAGTCTGCAGAACATATTTCACATTTGACGAGTGGATTTCGATTGACCACGGTACGATTGGACATAAATTGTAATGATTGGTTCGACCTAGTAATTCACTAGAAAATTCTTATCATCGATTGATTATGTCCAATCGTACCGTGGTCTATCGGAACGCTCCCTTTGACATACCTATTCTGTTGAATGCAATATAGTTATTTAAAAATTATTATAATATTTATAAATAATGAAAGGAAAATAGATACATACCTACACAGCACAACATCTTTCAAAAAGCTTTCCGAAAGATAATTTAAAATTATCTTGAAATATAACATTGAAATAATTCAGAAATTTTTGTGAAACATTTCATCAAAATCTTTTTCACTGAAATATTTCAGAAATCGCTTATAATAAACGTTGATCTATATATTTATACATAAATTTAATTAATTTAATTTAATTTTATATGGTTACGTGGATTTTTTCTTTTTTTTTCATTGTACTCTTTTATAATTACTCCAAGTTTATAGTCTTTTATGAGCTTATCTATTTCATAACAGTTAAGAATAAAAACATTTTACTATAAAAGTTTAAAGATAACGAAATGGATTGTGTCGGATTTTGTAGACCTTATTTCGTTACCTGAGGATTAAATGAACAATAAAAGTACGAAAAATACTATTTTTATTAAAATTACATCATTTTATTATATCATATTATCCAAAAATTATATTACTGTGTTAATTACAACACATATAGACAAAATATAAGATGTTTATATCGATCGAAGAAGTAGTGTAGTGTCTAAAGCAACAGACTTATAATACAGAGGTGCCTCAGGGTTCCAAGTTCGACTCCCATCAGTGCCAGTGAGAATTTTTAAATGTGATGTAATATTGGAATATCAGTCTAAAATTTTCAAGTAAAATCAGCAAACGCTGTGACATTTACGAAGTTTCTAAATATTAAAATACGAATAGTTTCTGTATATTAAAAAAAATACCTGAAATATTTCCCATATATTTTTTAAACATTTCAGTAATGTTTAAGATACTTTTCAGATAGTACATCATAGCGGATATTTTATATATCTTACAGATATATAAAACATGTCTGAAATATTTCTTTGAAATGTTTCATATTTCATTGAAAGCTTTTTGAAAGCTTTCTGAAATATGTTGGTGCTATATGGGTAATATAATAATGAAAGGAATATACATACATAGTAATTAAAACGATAAAATAATATTATCTTTGAATAGAAGGGGGGGAGAGAGAGAGAGATAGAGAAACTGCTGTTATGTAATACTTATATATTAAAAAAAATATATATATATATATATATATATATA